TTTTTTATTTGTTAAAAACGTTTGAAATATCCAATAAATTTCGTTCCACTTCATGATTGTGTCCCACTTGTTGTTGATTCTTCACAAAAAATTACAGTTTTATATCTTTATGTTTGAAGCCTGAAATGTGGCAAAAGGTCGCAAAGTTCAAGGGGGCCGAATACTTTCGCAAGGCACTGTACCAGTTTTTCAGCATCACTTTGACAATCTTTTTCAGTTATAATTATTCATATATTGTATGTCACATTTAATGTTGCATCTGAGAACTAAAAGTTATCAAGTGTAGCCAGTACAAAGTACATTTTTGTCTGAAATGTAGTGAAGTAGAAGGAAAATATTCAAGTACAGATACCTCAAATGTACTTACTTATTTTCCACATCTGGCAGTGATGATTGAAAGAGGCATCTCTTACTTTGCAACTTGTGTACCATCAGGCGTACATGACCTCGTGCATCATCTGCGGAAGCACAACATCCCCATCGCAGTGGCAACCAGCTCAGCCGGTGTGACATTCCAGCTGAAGACAAGCCGACACAAGGACTTTTTTAGTCTGTTCAACCACATTGTTCTGGGTGATGATCCTCAGGTGAAGAACAGCAAACCTCAGCCCGACTCCTTCCTGATCTGTGCCAGCAGATTCAACCCTCCTGCTTCTCCGGAAAAAGTAAGAACTACAGTACAGATTACACACGTTCAACATTTTAAATCAGTTATTTAAATATTCTGTCAGATTAATCTTGAGAGAAACCAAATGCAGGACACAAGGAAGTAATTTAAAGGTTCAGGAGAATGCCCAAAAAACTAACCATTTATAGACTGGCAAAGGTTGTTGAAGGAGAACAGCCCAGAATACAAACTGCTGGTGAACGCAGCTTGCTTAGAAGTAGTGGCAGGCGTTTCAAGTTGGACCAAGATGATGGTATGAACATGAAATGGCTATTCTGGAATAGTCCAGAAAAATGGGAGGGATACGTGTAACAGCTGAAAAATGATCTACAGGAGAAACAAATACAAAAGACTAAAAAGACAGCAGGTACAGGTAACACTGTTCCTCAGCAGGGGGAAAAGTGAACAAAAAACAATGTGTAGAAGCACTCATAGGCCCCACTTACAGAAAACACTCAAAATGCCACAAAAAAAAAAAAACTGACTACATTCTCCAACAGGGAGTCAATAAGATGGCTGCAGAGGTACAGCCTGACAGCATTCAAAAGAACAAGAACCAGAGAACAGTTCTTGGTCTAATTCCAGGTGACTTGCCACATAGGAAGAGGGCAGAGCAGGCAGAGAGTCCACAAGGCAAAAACTGGCCTGGTGTTGGCAACAGATAGCAACTCGCAGAATCAAAGATGATTGGACAATACTGCAGCATGGCAAGGACTAAGCAGATGGAGAATCTAACAGGCAGAGTTCAAGCCTAAATAACAGATCTTGGTCATGAGAAGATCAGGAAATAACTGGATAGTCCTCCATACAGCAAGTTGGCTTTTTGGAAACCAGGACGTAGATGGAAGCAGGTTATGTAGGTTGTGTAATGAGGGGGGGAACGTGAGATAGTGAAAACCTGGAAGTTACTACAAAATCAGAGCCTCCAGCAGGAAGTAGGCATGGAACATGACAATATTGTCTGCCAGATTAGTCATCAGATTTGTTTTCTTCTTCTATTGCTACTTTCTGTATTGCTAGTCACAACTTTTTCCATTTCTCTAAGTTTCATTTGCTACCACATGCAAGCTGTAGAATATTGTGTTTGGGGGGGGAAAGAAAACAAATTGGCCCACCAAGAAAATTCCTGAACATTCTGATGTCCAGTCGGTGCCTGCCGTGAAGAGAGACAGTCCTGTACACAGCATCTGAGCAGACCAGCATAGAAAAAAGAATGCTCTTTATCTAGTTTATTTAGGAATGCAAATTCACATATTTTTGAATTGTTAAGCTAAGATACGAGTTGTTGACCCAATAAAAACAGAGGTCGCAACCCTAAGTTAGGGAAAGGCAGATATATAGGAAAAATTCACTTCCAGAACCAAGTACACTTTGCACCTCAAAGACAAAGGTATAAACAAATGGTCCACATATTAGTTGGAAATATGGATCCTATGGTATTCTGCTTGGGAGAGTCCTTATATTATTTGTCAGTGTTTTTGGTTGAATGACATTTTTATGGCATAGAAGATGGATAATTGTGCGGTGTTAGCTGTTTAAATGTGTCGTTGATGTTGACCCAATTGGGATTGTACATAGTATGGACCCCCTGCTTCTGAGAGTATTTCACACACACTGGGTAAAGTCATGGATTTATACTATGATATTAGAGATCCCAGAGTTACCTTCAGTGAAAACAAGTGCTGCAGCAGGTAGCGAAGACACAGAACTACTACATATGTCAACAGTTTGTCGATAGTAGGCAGCATACAAAATGTCGTATATCTAGTTCTTTTTAACTGCCTGTGTGTCAGCCACTGGCTTTTCATCTGCTGTTAACATGTTCCATTTGCAGTAATGCATGTAGAGTCTGATGTCAGCTGTTCTCTGCACTGACAGATTCACACTACTGACAGTGGCACTTTGATCAAAAGTGGTGAGCTTTCAGGGCTCATGAGCTGTTTAAGATTTAATTTCAGATACTCTGGAAGCCTTTTGTGGTGTTGAGTCAGTCTAAAATAGCTGCCAAATATTTTGCTAAAAGAAACCACAGTGTGAGCCTGACCTACTGTACTTTGATGGAAACATTCACACTGTAGATCACATGTAAAAATGTTTTTATGCTAATTTGAATTTAAATCTGTTGTTGATCACTGTTCATTGTGCGGCTTGTTCATTGTAACTGAATGATATGCTTGTCTTTAATATGATTTAACTATGTTTAATACTCTGAATTGTGTACCACTCTAGTGTCTTTTGGAAATATACTGTACAGTGTTAATGATTTGTTCATTTTTTAGAATTTAATAGTAGAAAGCCCCGCGACCCCATTCGGGACTAAGCGGTATATGGTAAATGAGATGAAATGAGATAGTAGAAATCAAAGGTGAAACTGGAATGTCCAGGAGTCGGAAAACCTGTTGACATGTCTGTCAGCACAAAGGGTTCAAATTCAAATAGTCCTGCAGCAGATTGTCATTTATCTTGGAATATAAACATCAGGAACAAGTATATAATCACTTTTAAAGGCCAAATATATTACACACACAAGGAATTTGTCTCCTGCACAGAATTGAGGTGGCTATCTGTGGCGCCAATTCGCACACACCAATGTGGCGCTGTCCCTGCAAGGTGCTGCTCTGGCCATTGGAAGCAACTTGGGGTTCAGTGCCCAAGGACACTTTGACATGTGGACTAGGGAGAATGAAAATTTAATCTCTGACCGCTCTACCTGCTGAGCCACAGCCACCCCTCCAAAGACTGATAAACAAGTTCTCATTGAAAGATTGCATCAAGTTACAGAAGGTAGCCTGGAGGTGAATAACTTCAGTTCTTCTCAACTCACTCAACTCAACTTTATATATATAGCGCTTTACCACAACACAGCTGACCAAAGCGCTTAACATACCATACAAATCTAAAATCATCACATAAAAAAACTATAAACAATAAAACAAACTAACACTACAGACAGAGTCTCATTCCTGGCCAAACACCAATGAATACAAGTAGGTCTTCAAATAAGACTTAAAAGTAGACAGCGAGGGGGCCTGCCTAATATAAAGCGGCAAACCCCCCAACCAATAACCGAGTGGCAGCATTCTGGACCCTCTGGAGGCGGGCAAGACCCAACTGACTGACTCCAGCGTACAGTGCATTACAGTAATCCATACACGATGTAATAAATGCATGGATCGCTGTCTCCAAATGCTGCCGCAACAAAAAGGGTTATAGTTTCACTAACTGCCTTAAATGGAAAAATCCAGATTTTACAACCGCATTAATCTGGCTCTCTATTTTCAAATCGGAGTCTATTTTAACACCCAAATCAGTGACCACCGGTCGCACATACTGCCCCAAGAAACCTAAGTCTACTGGAGGAGGGTCACCAGACATATTCTGACAAACACTATAACCTCAGTTTTAGCATCATTTAACTTTAAACTGTTTAACGACATCCAGCCCTTAATATCAGCAAGACATGCTAAAAGCGGTTGAATCGAGTAGGTGTCCTTCTTACTCAGTGGCATAATAATCTGGACATCGTCAGCATAGCAATGAAAAGAGACCCCATGTTTTCTAAAGATAGAGCCAAGGGGAAGTAAATATAGTGAAAAAAGCAAAGGCCCAAGAATGGAGCCCTGTGGGACCCCAGATAACAAAGGGATTGTCACAGATTCAACATCTGCCAACCCGAAAGAGACCGATCTACCCGATAAATATGACTTAAACCACGCTAGGGCAACACCATGAGTGCCCACTAAATCTTGAAGCCAAGATATTAAAATGTCATGGTCAACCATGTCAAAGGCAGCAGTCAAGTCCAGCAGGACAAGAATCACATATTCACCCGCATCAGTGGCCAAATAAATATCGTTAACCTTCAGTAAGGCTGACTCTGTACTATGCATGGGTTTAAAACCAGATTGAAAAACCTCCAATAAGTTATTCTCATCTAAAAAGGATTTCACCTGCGCATAGACCACTTTTTCCAAGATTTTCGAAATAAAAGGTAACTTAGAAATAGGCCTAAAATTACTCAACATGGATTGATCCAGATGTGGCTTTTTGAGTAGAGGTTGCAAAACTGCATGCTTAAAATAACCAGGCACAACACCAGAAGATAAACTACTAAGTATCAGCTCATGGTGCCGAGAGTTCGGACCGAAAAAGGGAAACAGGCTTTTGGATTTGCCGCTCCCTCTTCGTGGAATAGTTTCCAAGCAGATTTTAAACTTACTGAATTATGCTCAGTTAAAGCTTTTTATTCCCTTATGGCTCTTAGGCAACAGGACTCTATTGGTCAGTGTAGGTGTTTTTAAATTGGTTGTATTGTTGATTATTGTATTTATGGTTTTGATTGTTTAAATGTTTAATGGTTTTGATTGTATTGAAACTTATGTATTGACGACATGTGTTGTTGACCTCTTGGCCAGGTCACCCTTGTAAAAGAGATCGTGATCTCAATGGGTTTTTTACCTGGTTAAATAAAGAGAAGTACTATTAATAATTTCCAAAATTGTGCCTCCAGTACATGGGAAGACTTCCTTAAATAAAGCCGGAGAAACGACATCTCGAGGGGAGCCAGATGGCTTAGCCTGGGCAACCACTCCCTCCAAAAAAGTCAGAGTTACCGGCTCAAAAACATCAAAAGTAGTCAAACAAGGAGTAAAGACCGAAGGATCGGGCACTAACCCTACCACAGTGGCCTTTGTAGTAGCAACCTTCTCATTAAAATAAACTAAAAACTTATTACATTGTTCAA